AGGCTGCCCTGCAAGAAATTTTTATTGAAGTCCAGAGAGTGCAGCTTGTAGTCACGCTGAGCAGCGAAGTGCAGCAACACCCAAAGAGTGGTCATCTTCGGGGTGGGGGAGAATGTCTGGAAGTAGTCGACCCCCCCTGTCGCCGACTGAAGCCTCTAGCAATGTAAAGCGCCTTGAAGGCAGGCGGAGAACCCGGCGGCCGCTTCACCCTGAAAATCCACATGCCATCGACTATGTTCGCCCCAGACGGGGGAGCTGCGTCGACGTAGGTGCCTGTGGACTTCGAGGATGCCATCTCGGCATCCATGGCTGCCTGCCACTGAGAGGAGTAAGGACCCGTAGTCACCTCTGTGTAAGAGCGCGTGGTCGGGATGTCTGGTGCATCCGGGTCTCCCTCAAGGGCAAGTAGCAGGTACAGAAGCTGCAAGACACTCAAATTCCTCCTGCCTGTCCTCAAGGACGTCCGTGCCAAGAGCACACTCACCCCCGACGAACAGAGGACTGGCAGACGCAGACTTAGCAACAAGAGCAGTGGCGTAGTCTAGACGACAGGCAGCAGCAAAGTCAACCAGCTCAGCAACGAGGGAAACGCAGCAGTGGACTCAAAAGAAGGGTCAGTGACAACAGTGGCAAGGAGATGAGAGACAGTGGGACTGGCAGTACGAGCGAGGTTAGACTCATGGTCAGGGACAGAAGGAAGAGAGGACTCAAAAGTAGGCGGCAGAGGAACACGTAGTGGAACAGAGGAAGGACGAAGTGCCATAGCGTGGGTGCTGGGGACAGGAGGAGGACGCGGACGAGGAACGCAACGACCAGTGCGAACTTTGCGAACAGGGGAGGCAGGACGAGACTCTGGCTCACACCGCTCAGTAAGACCTCCGGTCTGCTCAGTGTAAGGAGAAGGAGCAGGTAGTGGGGAGGCATGCTATAACGGCGACTGTGACTGGTCAGGCGGTGGACACAGATAGGGAGGATAAAGGCAAGTAGCAGATGGGAGACCAAGAACCTGCTGATGCAGGGGAACGAAGTACAGTCGCGGCCGCACACTGCCTCCAGCACCAGTACCGCCAGACACAGCACTCCTAGCTCCAGACCCTCCAGCTCCAGGGTCAACAGCTCCAGTGTCTCCAGCTCCAGCTCCTCCAGCTCCAGCGCCAACAGCGCCAGTGCCTCCAGCTCGAGCACCAATAGCTCCGGTGTCACCAGCTCTAGCTCCTCCAGCTCTAGCGCCACCAGCGCCAGTGCCTCCACCTCCAGCGCCCCCAACATTACCAGTCCCGGCAGCTCCTGTACCCCTGGTACGAGCACCTCCTGGACCAGCAGCTGCAGCACCTCCGGTACCACCAGCTCTAGCAGTAACTCCAGCACCTCCAGCTCCAGTGTCTCCAGCGGCAGAGTCTCCAACTCTGGCAGCTCCACTTCGAAGGCGTGTGCGCTGAGCAAACCACTTGAGCAGTTGCTGCGGGGAGAGAGGCTCCGGCCGGGGAGACAGTCGTGGCGAAACACCCGCAGGACCTCCAGAAGAAGCAGTACCCCGAGGCTCAGCACCCCCAGACTTGCACCCTCAGACTCAGCACCCTCAGGCTCCACATCCTCAGGCTCAGCACCCCCAGGCTCCACACCCGCAGGCTTAGCACCCCCAGGCTCCGCACCCCCAGGCTCAGCACCCCCAGACCCGGCACCCTCGGACTCAGCACCCCCAGGCTCCGCACCCCCAGACGCAGCACCCCCAGACGCTGCACCTCGAGCAGCACCTGAGACGACAGCGACCTCAACAGGCACAGTACCAGGGAGAGGGTCTACCGGAGACACACCTGAGGGAGCAGGACCCTGGTGGGGGAGGGGGTCTACCGGAGGGGGACCTCGAGCAAGGAATAGCGGCGGGGGTGGGGGAGGAGCAGAGCGGTAGGGGAAGAGACTGTAAAAGGGAACCGACTCGTCAAAAGTTACGTGCTGAGGGGGGAAGACACGGCGCGATGTGGGGTGGTAAAACTGCCACCCAGGCGTGTCAGGGGGAAAGCCAGGGAAGACGCAGGGAATAGCGCGGGCGGAGAGCTTGTCCGCGGACGTATCGCGAACAAAGGCACGAGAACCCCAGACCTGGAACACAGTGTAGGCGAGGTCTCCGGCAAGGAGACACGGGGCCAGAGGTTGAGCTGATGCGCAGCGTACCAGACCGCAAACGGCCACATAAAATGGGGAGCAGCCGCATGGATCATGGAGGTACGAGCGACCTCCATGACCAAGCCAATGCAGCGCTCAGCAATCCCATTTTGCTGAGGGGAGGTCGGGAGCGTGAACGACTGGAGAATGCCCTCCCCACGACAAAATTCTCGCAACAGGTCGGAGGAGAACTCACCACCTCTGTCAGAGTGTAGACGCTGGACAGGAAGGTCCACACGAAACCGCTCGCGGAGCTGGAGACGGACTGCGCGGATCCAAGGGATCAAAGACATCAGGGACATCACCCTTGCTGCGCAAGGGGAAGACCGTGGTGTAACACATATATTCGTCAACAACCAGCAGAAAGTAGCGCTCACGGTCCTCTCCATTGACGCGGGCTGGGCCCCACACGTCCATGTGGAGAGTCTGCACGGGACCAGTCGTCGGGGGAAACGAGGAGTGAGGAGCGGCGCGCTGCCGCCCCTCGACGCAAGGAAGGCAGGGCGGGGCAGGCAAGGGCGGGAGGGGAGGCAGAGCCCTGGGAAGACCAGAGACAAGGAGGCGGGAGTGCATGCCACGAAGGCGTGGGAGGGAGGGGTGACCAAGGCGGTGGTGCCACAGGAGAGTCTGGTGCGACAGGAGGCAACACGAGCAAGGGGGTGCTACCTGACCTGACGCGGACACCTGGGCAGACGCAGCTACCTGAGGAGGCTTGGTAGCTAGTGTGTACAGACTCGACCCAGGCCGACGAGTGAAAGTGGCCAGGTGACGACGGCCCATCCGTGTACACGTGCAGATCGACACACGCTGACCCCCAGGAGTGGTGGTAGTGACCATCGCATCTTGGAGGGCAGCGGTACTCACCAAGTTTGTAGAGAACGAGGGGAGGTGAAGGCCTGACAGTGAGCCAGACAGAAATGCCGGAGACGGAAGAACAGTGGAGGAACGGGCAAGGACAGGGCCCCCGGAGGGGTCAGCCAGTCTAACCGGTACAGGTGCAGAGAGAGGAGTGAGGGTAGTGCTTTCGCGAAAGAAACAGCCTGAAGCACCTGAATCAAGTGCAAAGGTGTGCAAGGCCTCAGCAGGCGCAGTACCAGAGAGAGCAGACTCACTAGCACCTAGAGCAGCAGCCTCGATACCTGGATCAGGCGGCACACACAGGTAACAGTCACCCTCAGCACTAACAGACAAGGCATACATAGCAGCAAGGATAGCATCATATTCTAGGTCAAAGATAGCAACTCCATACCTATGTAGCTCTGCCCTGCGGGGGCCTCGTCACCAAAATTTGCGCGCCAAACTTAGTAGAGGCGGGAGAAGCAGCGGTGCTGAGTGTGAGGCTTCCCGCATGTCCGACCAGCACGGTCACCCGTGTGAATGACATACGAGCAGCTACCACTACCCCCAGACGCCCCACGCTGAGAAAACCACTCACGAAGCTGCTGGGGCGACGAGGTCTCGCTCCGACGCTGCTGCTGCTGCCTCTGGCCACCGCTAGAACCTTCCCGCTGAGTAGCTCCAGCCCGACCGCCACCACTCCCACCGCCGCCACTACCGCCACCCCCACCGCTGCCACCACCGCCGCCACCAAAGCCCCCACTCCCGCCACCACTCCCACTACCGTCACCACCTCCACTGCCTCCACCACCTCCACTGCCGCCCCCACCACCACCCCCGATGCCAACGCCACCACCCCTGCCACCCGTGCCCTTGGTGCTGCGGTGCTTCCCACTAGCAGAAGCAGCCCTGACATCCTCAGCACCAAGGACGCCAACAGCAGCAGCAGAGGCGTAGGAGGGGGCAAGGGGGGAGGGGGAACACCCCTTAAAGAAGGGCGTGCGAGGAGTGCCACGAGCGGCACCTACAACGACTACACTAGTCTCAGCTGCAAGGAGGTGCTGCTCGAGTAGGTCGACACTGAGGGCTGTGGGGTCAAGTGCGAGAAAGTGGTCCCTGACAGCGCGAAGAGAGTCAGGGAGGCGGGTGACTATAAAGTAGAGAGTGATGTTCATCGGGGGCGGGTTCCTCTCAAGGAACTCTTCTGGGAGGGCAGCGCGGTAGCGAGCGTCGCTAGTGCAAAGGTGGGTAACGAGGTCCTCTACTGTGGCAAAGGCGGACAACTCGGGAAACAGGTAGGGAGGTACAAGACGGCCTAGAGCGGCAGTGGCAGGAGAGGAGTAACGGGCGACTACAACGTTGTACAGCGCCTGTGCAGTCCTGTGCTGTCCGAAGTGAGCGCATTTGGCTAACGGCAGGTGGTTGCGAATGGCTCAGCGAGCAGCAGCGTCACGAGTAAGCCACTGTGAGCGAGTCGCACTGTCAGCTGTGGCGGGAGGGGCGGGAGAGGCGCCAGACGTGTGGTCAAACAACGAAACGCTATCTCTAGAGTCACTCAGTAGGTACATCTGCAAGTCGTCGAGCCACGTGTCGAACTGGATCGGGCGGCCCTCATGATCGAAAGCGAGTACGCGGAGATAAGCCATAGCAGCGCAGCACGCAGGGCGGGCAGGAGCCGGACAGCGCAAGGAACAGGGTAGGCAGCAGCAAGGGGCGGCAAGCGGGCTGCAAGTGGCGGCGCGCAGGCTGCAAGAGGGGCGGCTCACGGGCGTAGGGGCCGTTGGCGGGCCTAGGGGCGGCGGGCGGGCCGGAAGGGGCGGCGCGCGTGGCTGCAGGGGCGGCGAGAGGGCCGAAAGGGGTGGCGCGTGGGGCTGCAGGGGCGGCTCGCGGGCTGCAGGGGCGGCTCGCGGGCTGCAGGGGAGAAGGGCGGGCCGCAAGGGGCGCGGGGCTGCAGGGGAGGCGAGCAGGGCAGCAGGGGCGGCGCGCGGGGCCTAGGGGCGATGGGTGGATTGCAAGGGGCGGCGCGCGGGGCCTAGGGTCGACGGGCGGGCCGCAAGGGGCAGCGCGCGGGGCAATAGGGGCGTCGGGCGGGCCTGCAGAGGCGGCGCGCGGGGCCAGGGGTCGATGGGCGGGCCAGCAGGGGCGGCGGGCGGGGCCTAGGGTCGACGGACGGGCCTGCAGGGGCGGCCCTCGGGGCCTAGGGTCGACGGGCGGGCCGCAAGGGGCGGTGCGCGGGGCAGAAGGGGCGTCGAGCGGGCCTGTAGGGGCGGCGCGCGGGGCCTAGGGTTGACGGGCGGTCCGCAAGGGGCGGCGCGCGGGGCCTAGGGTCGGAGGAAGATATCCAGTTGGAGGAAGATATCCAGTTGGAGGAAGATATCCAGTTGGAGGAAGATGTCCAGTTGGAGGAAGATATCCAGTTGGAGGAAGATGTCCAGTTGGAGGAAGATATCCAGTTGGAGGAAGATGTCCAGTTGGAGGAAGATATCCAGTTGGAGGAAGATGTCCAGTTGGAGGAAGATATCCAGTTGGAGGAAGATATCCAGTTGGAGGAAGATGTCCAGTTGGAGGAAGATATCCAGTTGGAGGAAGATATCCAGTTGGAGGAAGATATCCAGTTGGAGGAAGATATCCAGTTGGAGGAAGATATCCAGTTGGAGGAAGATATCCAGTTGGAGGAAGATATCCAGTTGGAGGAAGATATCCAGTTGGAGGAAGATATCCAGTTGGAGGAAGATGTCCAGTTGGAGAAAGATATCCAGTTGGAGGAAGATATCCAGTTGGAGGAAGATGTCCAGTTGGAGGAAGATATCCAGTTGGAGGAAGATGTCCAGTTGGAGGAAGATATCCAGTTGGAGGAAGATATCCAGTTGGAGGAAGATGTCCAGTTGGAGGAAGATATCCAGTTGGAGGAAGATATCCAGTTGGAGGAAGATATCCAGTTGGAGGAAGATATCCAGTTGGAGGAAGATGTCCAGTTGGAGGAAGATATCCAGTTGGAGGAAGATGTCCAGTTGGAGGAAGATATCCAGTTGGAGGAAGATGTCCAGTTGGAGGAAGATGTCCAGTTGGAGGAAGATATCCAGTTGGAGGAAGATATCCAGTTGGAGGAAGATGTCCAGTTGGAGGAAGATATCCAGTTGGAGGAAGATATCCAGTTGGAGGAAGATGTCCAGTTGGAGGAAGATATCCAGTTGGAGGAAGATATCCAGTTGGAGGAAGATATCCAGTTGGAGGAAGATGTCCAGTTGGAGGAAGATATCCAGTTGGAGGAAGATGTCCAGTTGGAGGAAGATATCCAGTTGGAGGAAGATATCCAGTTGGAGGAAGATGTCCAGTTGGAGGAAGATATCCAGTTGGAGGAAGATATCCAGTTGGAGGAAGATATCCAGTTGGAGGAAGATATCCAGTTGGAGGAAGATATCCAGTTGGAGGAAGATGTCCAGTTGGAGGAAGATATCCAGTTGGAGGAAGATATCCAGTTGGAGGAAGATGTCCAGTTGGAGGAAGATATCCAGTTGGAGGAAGATATCCAGTTGGAGGAAGATGTCCAGTTGGAGGAAGATATCCAGTTGGAGGAAGATGTCCAGTTGGAGGAAGATGTCCAGTTGGAGGAAGATATCAAGTTGGAGGAAGATGTCCAGTTGGAGGAAGATATCCAGTTGGAGGAAGATATCCAGTTGGAGGAAGATATCCAGTTGGAGGAAGATATCCAGTTGGAGGAAGATGTCCAGTTGGAGGAAGATGTCCAGTTGGAGGAAGATATCAAGTTGGAGGAAGATGTCCAGTTGGAGGAAGATATCCAGTTGGAGGAAGATATCCAGTTGGAGGAAGATATCCAGTTGGAGGAAGATATCCAGTTGGAGGAAGATGTCCAGTTGGAGGAAGATGTCCAGTTGGAGGAAGATGTCCAGTTGGAGGAAGATGTCCAGTTGGAGGAAGATGTCCAGTTGGAGGAAGATGTCCAGTTGGAGGAAGATGTCCAGTTGGAGGAAGATGTCCAGTTGGAGGAAGATGTCCAGTTGGAGGAAGATGTCCAGTTGGAGGAAGATGTCCAGTTGGAGGAAGATGTCCAGTTGGAGGAAGATGTCCAGTTGGAGGAAGATGTCCAGTTGGAGGAAGATGTCCAGTTGGAGGAAGATGTCCAGTTGGAGGAAGATGTCCAGTTGGAGGAAGATGTCCAGTTGGAGGAAGATGTCCAGTTGGAGGAAGATGTCCAGTTGGAGGAAGATGTCCAGTTGGAGGAAGATGTCCAGTTGGAGGAAGATGTCCAGTTGGAGGAAGATGTCCAGTTGGAGGAAGATGTCCAGTTGGAGGAAGATGTCCAGTTGGAGGAAGATGTCCAGTTGGAGGAAGATGTCCAGTTGGAGGAAGATGTCCAGTTGGAGGAAGATGTCCAGTTGGAGGAAGATGTCCAGTTGGAGGAAGATATCCAGTTGGAGGAAGATGTCCAGTTGGAGGAAGATATCCAGTTGGAGGAAGATATCCAGTTGGAGGAAGATATCCAGTTGGAGGAAGATGTCCTGTTGGAGGAAGATATCCAGTTGGAGGAAGATGTCCAGTTGGAGGAAGATATCCAGTTGGAGGAAGATGTCCAGTTGGAGGAAGATATCCAGTTGGAGGAAGATGTCCAGTTGGAGGAAGATATCCAGTTGGAGGAAGATATCCAGTTGGAGGAAGATATCCAGTTGGAGGAAGATATCCAGTTGGAGGAAGATATCCAGTTGGAGGAAGATGTCCAGTTGGAGGAAGATATCCAGTTGGAGGAAGATATCCAGTTGGAGGAAGATGTCCAGTTGGAGGAAGATATCCAGTTGGAGGAAGATATCCAGTTGGAGGAAGATGTCCAGTTGGAGGAAGATATCCAGTTGGAGGAAGATGTCCAGTTGGAGGAAGATGTCCAGTTGGAGGAAGATATCAAGTTGGAGGAAGATGTCCAGTTGGAGGAAGATATCCAGTTGGAGGAAGATATCCAGTTGGAGGAAGATATCCAGTTGGAGGAAGATATCCAGTTGGAGGAAGATGTCCAGTTGGAGGAAGATGTCCAGTTGGAGGAAGATGTCCAGTTGGAGGAAGATGTCCAGTTGGAGGAAGATGTCCAGTTGGAGGAAGATGTCCAGTTGGAGGAAGATGTCCAGTTGGAGGAAGATGTCCAGTTGGAGGAAGATGTCCAGTTGGAGGAAGATGTCCAGTTGGAGGAAGATGTCCAGTTGGAGGAAGATGTCCAGTTGGAGGAAGATGTCCAGTTGGAGGAAGATGTCCAGTTGGAGGAAGATGTCCAGTTGGAGGAAGATGTCCAGTTGGAGGAAGATGTCCAGTTGGAGGAAGATGTCCAGTTGGAGGAAGATGTCCAGTTGGAGGAAGATGTCCAGTTGGAGGAAGATGTCCAGTTGGAGGAAGATGTCCAGTTGGAGGAAGATGTCCAGTTGGAGGAAGATGTCCAGTTGGAGGAAGATGTCCAGTTGGAGGAAGATGTCCAGTTGGAGGAAGATGTCCAGTTGGAGGAAGATGTCCAGTTGGAGGAAGATATCCAGTTGGAGGAAGATGTCCAGTTGGAGGAAGATATCCAGTTGGAGGAAGATATCCAGTTGGAGGAAGATATCCAGTTGGAGGAAGATGTCCTGTTGGAGGAAGATATCCAGTTGGAGGAAGATGTCCAGTTGGAGGAAGATATCCAGTTGGAGGAAGATGTCCAGTTGGAGGAAGATATCCAGTTGGAGGAAGATGTCCAGTTGGAGGAAGATATCCAGTTGGAGGAAGATATCCAGTTGGAGGAAGATATCCAGTTGGAGGAAGATATCCAGTTGGAGGAAGATGTCCAGTTGGAGGAAGATATCCAGTTGGAGGAAGATGTCCAGTTGGAGGAAGATATCCAGTTGGAGGAAGATGTCCAGTTGGAGGAAGATATCCAGTTGGAGGAAGATGTCCAGTTGGAGGAAGATATCCAGTTGGAGGAAGATGTCCAGTTGGAGGAAGATATCCAGTTGGAGGAAGATGTCCAGTTCAGTTGGAGGAAGATATCCAGTTGGAGGAAGATGTCCAGTTGGAGGAAGATATCCAGTTGGAGGAAGATATCCAGTTGGAGGAAGATATCCAGTTGGAGGAAGATATCCAGTTGGAGGAAGATATCCAGTTGGAGGAAGATATCCAGTTGGAGGAAGATATCCAGTTGGAGGAAGATATCCAGTTGGAGGAAGATATCCAGTTGGAGGAAGATATCCAGTTGAGGAAGATATCCAGTTGGAGGAAGATATCCAGTTGGAGGAAGATATCCAGTTGGAGGAAGATATCCAGTTGGAGGAAGATATCCAGTTGGAGGAGAGAGTTGGAGGAAGATATCCAGTTGGAGGAAGATATCCAGTTGGAGGAAGATATCCAGTTGGAGGAAGATATCCAGTTGGAGGAAGATATCCAGTTGGAGGAAGATATCCAGTTGGAGGAAGATATCCAGTTGGAGGAAGATATCCAGTTGGAGGAAGATATCCAGTTGGAGGAAGATATCCAGTTGGAGGAAGATATCCAGTTGGAGGAAGATATCCAGTTGGAGGAAGATATCCAGTTGGAGGAAGATATCCAGTTGGAGGAAGATATCCAGTTGGAGGAAGATATCCAGTTGGAGGAAGATATCCAGTTGGAGGAAGATATCCAGTTGGAGGAAGATATCCAGTTGGAGGAAGATATCCAGTTGGAGGAAGATATCCAGTTGGAGGAAGATATCCAGTTGGAGGAAGATATCCAGTTGGAGGAAGATATCCAGTTGGAGGAAGATATCCAGTTGGAGGAAGATATCCAGTTGGAGGAAGATATCCAGTTGGAGGAAGATATCCAGTTGGAGGAAGATATCCAGTTGGAGGAAGATATCCAGTTGGAGGAAGATATCCAGTTGGAGGAAGATATCCAGTTGGAGGAAGATATCCAGTTGGAGGAAGATATCCAGTTGGAGGAAGATATCCAGTTGGAGGAAGATATCCAGTTGGAGGAAGATATCCAGTTGGAGGAAGATATCCAGTTGGAGGAAGATATCCAGTTGGAGGAAGATATCCAGTTGGAGGAAGATATCCAGTTGGAGGAAGATATCCAGTTGGAGGAAGATGGAAAGAACATGGAACAGCAGCGGTGCGACGCTCACTTGATCCTATCTGCTCTCGCCTTGCATGCCTGTGCCAGCCACCACTTCCAAGTGCAAAATCAGCTGATTCACCGCAATGCTGCACTCTCCCACTGCGCTCACCTGTGTGGCGGCCTCACACCTTGTGGGCGGCGACGGCAGCGTCGCTGGCGAGGTAGCGCGTGGCTACGTTGTCAGACGCGTCCAGCAGCACGTCGTACCTGCCATGGCGGGTGGCGGATGGGGGAGGGCGGATGGGAGATGGATGGGACAGGGCGGATGATGGCGGAGATGGGGGTGATGAGGACGGATGAGGGAGGTATGAGGGCGGGAGGAGGAATGGTGTGGAGCTGAGCAGGTGTGGGCGAGATGGAATGAGGGAATGACGCATTCAGATGGCGCTGCGCTGCTTCACACGCCATGCGGAGGTGCGGGCAGCAGGACGGTCAGAACGCGAGGGAGAACAGGAAGGAAAGAGGGAGGGCGGTAGGTAGGTAGGTAGGTAGGTAGGTAGGGAGGGAGGGAGGGAGGAAGGGAGGGAGGGAGGGAGGGAGGGAGGGAGGGAGGGAGGGAGGGAGGGAGGGAGGGAGGGAGGGAGGGAGGGAGGGAGGGAAGTGGGAGCAAAGGCTGGACGAGGGAGTGTGAATGAGCGGGTGGTGTGTTGGTGATGCATGTGGGGCAGTGGGGCGGAAAAAGGCATGATGGGGAGAGGAATGGCGGGGAGAGGCATGGCGGGGAGAGGCATGACGGGGAGATGCATGGCGGGGAGAGGCATGGCGGGGAGAGGCATGGCGGGGAGAGGCATGGCGGGGAGAGGCATGGCGGGGAGAGGCATGGCGGGGAGAGGCATGGCGAGGAGAGGCATGGCGAGGAGAGGCATGGTGGGGAGAGGCATGGCGGGGAGAGGCATGGCGGGGAGAGGCATGGCGGGGAGAGGGAATACCTGGAAACGAGGTGGACGGCATTGGCGGGTGTGAAGCCGTGGCTGTGCGTCTCCACTGTGATGTCCGAATTCAACCTGCTCCCCCATGCATGCATGCATGCATGCAGCCACCCGTCCACAACCCACGCACCGACACACAAACACACACAACCACGCACACACCACATGCTCTCATGCACAGCTGTGATGAACAGCAGCCATGGCTGCCTCAGAAGAGACGAGGCTCAACCCATGCCCCGTGCCCCATGTTGTGCCGCGCTCAGTGGGCGGGTCATCGTTGTGCTCTCCACTCACTTGGCAGACACACATAAAATTTTCAAGCTGCCACCTGCTGCCAGCACAACCTCACTTGGTGCCAGCTCAGCATCACCTGGTGCCAGCTCAGCATCACCTGGTGCCAGCTCGGCATCACCTTGTGCCAGCTCAGTATCACCTTGTGCCAGCTCAGCATTACCTGGTGCAGGCAGCAGCGGCGGACTCTGTCTTGGGGCGACCAACCGCCGCCTCAGAATGGATGATCTGCACCCCTCACCCACAGACAGGCAGGCAGGCAAGCAGGCAGGCAGGCAGGCAGGCAAAGAGGGCAGTGGAGGCCGCATGGGGCACGGTTGATGGGGCAAGGGGTGAGTGGAGGCATGCAACGGGTGAGAGAGCAGAGGGAAGCGCCAAGGCAAGCCAGTATTTGACGCACAGCAACTGTCAAGGAGTGAAACGGCTTTCTGCCTGTTCTTATCATTTCACCTGCCTGCGTTTCATCTCACCTGTCCGTGCGTTTCATCTCACCTGTCTGTGCGTTTCATCTCACCTGTCTGTGCAGGTTGGACAGCTCCACGTCATCCCTGTCGACGATGCCTATGCGCCCTGCATGCCATGCCATTCCATGCCATTCCGTGCCATGCCATGCCATGCCATGCCATGCCATTCCGTGCCATGCCACAGCAAAAACACGCTCCGGGCGAGCAGCAATGCGTGTGGAATGGCATGTGGGATGCATGAGAACACAACGTGTTACAGTGGGAGTGAGCAAGAGAGGAGACAAGGAAGGGTGAGCAAGAGAGGAGACAAGGAAGGGTGAGCACGTTATTGTACAGGCATGGAGCGCCCACTCGTCGTCCCGCAAACCAACCAGCACCATAACACGGTGCCACCCGCAGCAACCACCAACATCCACGTCACACTCACCCACTGCCCCCACTACCCGCCCGCACTGTCCCCCCACTCGCCCTGCCCCACTGCCCTCACCACCCTCACTGCCCCCACCCATCGCCCCCCCGCACGCACCCACGCCGCACGCTGCCAGGTAGAGTGCAGCAGGCGACCCCAGCCCGCCCGCGCCCACCACCAGCACTGACCCGCGCCTCAGCCGCTGCTGCGCTGGTGTGGTCAGGGGGAAGAGGGGGGAGGGGGGCCGGGGGAAGGGCTTCGGGTTGGGGATAGGGAAGGGAGGCAGAGGGTAGAGAAATGGCGGTCAGAAGAATGTGCAGAGGCAGTGAGAGGCAGTGAGAGGCAGTGTAACCTGCCACGCGCACCTGCGACGCCGAACGACGGCAGCATGAGCTGCCGCGAGTAGCGCTGCACCTCCCGCGAGCTCAACGCGTGCTCCGCCTCGAAGCTGCGCCCGCCCTCGCCCACCCCGCCAGCCGCTTCCGCCCCCGCTCCCTCAAGTTCCGCGCCCCCCTTTGGTAACCCGCTATCGTCTCTATCCCCATTCCCCCCCTCCGCCGCCCCAATCGCGGGGCCGTCAGCAGCCGGCGAGCGCGCATTCGATTCCGCTCCGCTCGCGCTCTCCACTCCGCCGCTGCGCTTCCCTCCGCCCGCTTCCCCGCATTCCGCTTCCTGAGTTTCCTGCTTTCGCTTTCCGTCGTCTCCCCCTTCTCTCCGTCTCTCCCCTTCCGTCTCTCGCCCCTCGCCTAGTCTCAACCGTCGATCTTCCTCATCCAACGCTCGCAGCGCCTGCAGCAGCTCCTGCCGGCGCGCTTGCACCGCTCTCAGCGCGGCCACTCTCTCGCCCGCGATCGCGCCGTCCGATTCGTCGCCCTGCATTGCTCGCCGCTGTCGTGGTGGCTGGTAACCGTGTGTTGCTGATTGTTCAACACAATTGATGTTTGACAAAGAAAAGCTGGGGTGAGGGTTTTGTTGTTGGTTTCGGGCGCGGGTGCTCGGCAGATTCGATTGAGGACCTGCAGGTAGTTTCCGGGTTACCATGACTGTAACAGATGTTTTGAAAACGAAGCTTCTTTTGTTGAGGGATGGGACGATTGAATGGAATCCGACCGTGTCGAGATGGGAACCGAGAGCACCACCGATCACCCAACGGCTAGGCGCCAAAATGTGGATGGCGGATTTGGGCGAAATTCCTAAAGACGCTAAATAGTGGTACCTCGGTTATATCGCGAACATAACATGTTTTGGTAAAGTGGCAAAGAAAACTGTAGATAGTTGAGCTGTTCTGTTGGCATTACAATGTTCATTTCAACATGTAACCACTTGTTTAATCCCTCGTTCGAAAGCCCGAGTGAACGCAAATGTTCCGCGCCCTAATTAATTGCCCTTGACCAGGCGCACGTTCGGCGATCAGTGATCACGCGCAACCCTGCCTGACCGCCACTTGTTCCACGCCTGAGTGAAGCAGCAAAGCATCAGAGCCGTGTCACGCCTGAGTGAAGCAGCAAAGCATCAGAGCCGTGTCACTAGGTGGACGCAGCACCGTGCTCTCATCCATCCCGTTCCGTCGCACTCCCGCGTTTCACCCACTGGCGTCTGGTCCGCCTCGCCTCGCCTCGCCTCGCGTCGCCTGACTTGGCCCGCCATGGATGCCGCAACGGCCGTGCTCTTGGCGCAGACGGACCACCATCTGTTCGAGGTGGCACACCCGCGGCTCGACGTCTTCGACTCGCCGCGCTGCACGCGCCTCGCCACGCAGGCGTGGACGGGCCGGCGCCTCGTCGCTCTCGCCGCCACCTCGATCGAACCGCGCTTTCGTGATCCAGACATCGCGGCCGTTCATTCCGGCTCGCACGAGGCACAGCGACCGTTAGGCTCCGACGTGGCACCGGGCGCCATTCCGATCCGGCTGTGCGAGGACGCGTATCCCGGGTGGATATCGGCTGCTGACGTGGCTGAAGGCGCCATCCGTCACCTGTCCATTGGCTCAGAGAGTGCAACGCGAGAGGCAGGCAATGCGGGGGATAGGGTCAAGCGGAAGGGCGGAGGAGGGGAGTGTGAAGGCGGAGGCACAGCAGAGAATGGGGGCATGGGGGTGGGGTTGGGCGTGGGGGAAGAGGCGGACTTGGCGGGGGAGAGAGAGGCGGCGGTTGCATTCGCGGAGGCGGCGAGGGCGGAGGGCGATCGGTACCTGTGGGGCGGCACCACGGGGCCTCACTTCGACTGCAGCGGGCTCGGTGCGTGCCGCCCGTAGCCTCATTGTGCCGCCCCTAGCCTCATCGTGCCGCCCCTAGCCTCATCGTGCCGCCCCTAGCCTCATCGTGCCACCCCTAGCCTCATCGTGCCGCCCCTAGCCTCATCGTGCCGCCCCTAGCCTCATCGTGCCGGCCCTAGCCCACAGCGCAGCACGCAGAGACGTTGGGTGCATGTGTAGCGCTGGGACAGCGCAGGTGGTGCGGGACATGGGCGCACAGGGAGGCACCATTGCTCCCCACCCGTGGCCCTGTGACTCTGTACCGTGTGACTGTGTCACCCGCGCACATTCGGTGGCGGGTGCAGTGGAACGTGGGAATTGGAGGCACGGCTGTAGCGCACTGTGCATGGAGGCACGGCTGTAGCGCACTGTGCATGGAGGCACGGCTGTAGCGCACTGTGCATGGAGGCACGGTTGTAGCGCACTGTGCATGGAGGCACGGCTGTAGCGCACTGTGCATGGAGGCACGGCTGTAGCGCACTGTGCATGGAGGCACGGCTGTAGCGCACTGCACCGTGTACATGCACTGCAGGGGACTAGGCGAGCTGGAGTGTGTGCAAGGCGAATGTGTGCTGCCCGCTCCCATCCATCTTCCATTGCCTCTTCCGCACGCCTGTGTGTATTGGAGAGCCAATGGCACACCCTCTTCTCCTGCACGTGCCGCCTGCCCTGCCCTGTTCTGCCCTGCCCTGTTCTGCCCTGCTCTGTTATGCTGCAGCTTTGGTGCATGCAGTAAGGTGCCAGTGTTTGCACCAAGCTCTATTTTCTCTCTCACTTGGCTTTCCCCTCGTCGTTCCCTTTGTGATCTCCCTTTCGTGCATGGACTGTGGTATGCTGGGTGCTGTGGCATGTCGTGCGCATGCATGCAGTGCAGCGAGCATATGCATCTGCAGGAGTGTGGGTGCCTCGAGATGCCTTCCAGCAGGTCAGTGCGTGTGGTGCGTGTTGTACCCACTCCGCTCACTGGAAGGCACTGCTTCATGGCCCTTGTGAACCACGTCGTTCAACTGCTGCACTGCCTGCTTCTCACACCCCTCCCTGTTCTCACACCCCTCCCGCACCCATCCCTGCTCTCACCCCTCCCTGCCCTCACCTCTGTCGGTTCCCACCCCCCTCTGCGCGCGGCAGGAGGCTTTCTGTCAGCCAGTGGGTGTGAATCGCATCGCTAGAGGCGATCTGGTAAGCCACCCCACGCCTGCCTTTATACGACAATCGCCACCCCACCACCCCCTGCCTGCTCCCGAGCCTCTCACCTGTCCGCCTCTGTGCTGCACGCCGGTTCCCACACCCTACCACCTCCCTCTGTGCTGCACGCCGGTTCCCACACCCTACCACCTCCCTCTGCGCGCCTCCCCTTGCGGCGCACGTCACACCGCACAGCACCTCAATCATGCATCGCCACTCGGCAGTCACACCCACTTCCTTCGGGTGTCTGAGTCGACTCATCATCACCTTTGCTGCTGCTCACGTCCCCATGGTGCATGCGTCACTGGCTGGCTGGCAGGTGTTCTTCGGCACCACACGTGCCACGCATGTTGGCATCGTAACCTGCGCCAAGCTATTCCACCGCATTCCACCACTCGCCACCGGGTCCAGCCCCTCCCACGCGCGTGAGAGCAGGCACAAACATGCAGAGGAGAGCATCCCGTGCCATGCATGCGGAAGCACCCCCTCACCCGCGCGGCACATGGTGCAGGTGGCGTTTCTGCACAGCTCCGGGCTCGATGACGGCCACGACGGCATCGTCTCTGACCGCCTGCGCCTGCTGCTGCCCTGCCCTCCACGTCGCACTCAGGTGTCGTGCGGCGAGGCACGTGTGTTGAGGGAGCACGCTCATGGCTCAGGTGACGCGTGTGTGTGCTGCCGTGGCGTGAATAATCAGGGCGAGGGGGGATCGGGAGAGGAGAGGCGTCTGGGAGCGGAGCAAGAGTGGGTGAGTGCAGAGGGAGGCAGCAGTGCGTGTGGAGCAGGCGAGGCAGGGGAGGCGGGGGAGGCGGGGGAGTGGAAGGTGGTGAAGGGGTGGCATGTGGGCAGCAGGGAGGTGGGGAGGAAGGGAGAGAGCGCGCAGGCCGCCGTGGAGGGCGAGCAGGGGCACAGGCGGGAGGGAGGGATGACGGTGCTGGCAAGCCACACGGCTGGCAATGACGAAGCGGTTTTGCCAGAGGGAAGGGAGGGGGCAAAAGAGGGAGGGATGGGGGCAGCAGAGAAGGGGGAGGCGGTAGAGGTGCATGCGCGGGGCAGGGTGGCGGTGCACTATGGCGCCCAGCTCAGGGGCTTCGGGCGCGTGCTGCATGCCCTGCCACCATCGCTCGCCCACATCCCACCCCACCTCGTGCTGCCCCTTCAGTTGTAGCACCAACTCGACTCCACGTCGGGGAGGAGAGATGTTTGCGGCTTCCTTTCTTCCCAGCACTGCCGCTTCCCTTGGTGGGGGTGTTTGGCAGCATGGACCTCAGCTGCTACTCCCTTGTCAAAATGTCATAATGCTTATATTGTGTAGGCTGTAGTGGGGTAGCCCATAAGGGGAACAACCCAATTAGGGTTAGTACTTGTACCAACTTTCTGCTCAATGCATTCATTCTCGTTCACTATTCTGACATGGTTTCGGAGCAGGTCCTGCTCCAGGACCGGTTTTTTTAGGGCCCACCACATAGTTCCTTGCTCATAGCCAGGGCTGACGTTTCAAAAAAACCCACTCTGAGGCAGGGGAGAAAAAGATTTCGTTTAGTCTGAGGGTCATTTCCCAAGTTCTGAGTACTCTGAAATGTCAGGTTTGAAAAAATCATTAGTCTGAAAAGTTTTAAGTTTGTAAAACCGCATCCGAGTTGGTGAATAGCGAATATCTGTCAAGCGAGTTTGGCCTAGGGAAAACGTTGCGGAGTTGGCGAGAAGCAGGAGTAAGTGGGGGCGGGGGAAGGGGGAGGGGGGAGGGGGGCAGGGGGGGAATTGAATGTAATTCGAGAGAGGGGGAGGGGGGAGGACTGAAATTCGGCAAATTCAGGGGCCATACTCCCTGTAGTCTCGAGTCTCAGTATCGCACAATGAAGTACTCTGAATTTTTCAGAGTTGAAAAACTAACAGGTCTGAGGCCTTCAGAGTTCAGAATACAGGAATACTGAAATTTCAGGAAAGGCGAAAAAAAGAGTCTGAGATTTCAGACAATCAGACTAAAATAGTCTGATAAAATCAGCCCTGCTCATAGCGCTGCCCCACTAGTCACATTGCCCTGCCCTGCCCGTCGCGCCGCCCTGCAGGCAGAGCGCTGCCTTGCCTTGCCCGTCGCACCGCCCTGCTGGTCACGCGCCGCCCTACCCTGCCTGTCGCGTCGCCATGCTGGCCGCTGCGTCGCCCTGCCCTGCCTGCGCGCCGCACTGCTGGCAGTAGCGCCGCCCTGCCCTGCTTGCGCGTCGCCCTGCCTTGCCCGCGCGGCGCCCTGCTGGCTCCCGCCCTGCTGCCCGTGCAGCCCTGCTGCGCGCCGCCCTGCTGCCCGCGCCGCCCTCCTGCTGCCCACCCTGCTGGCCGCCGCCCTGCCCGCGCGCCGCCCTGCTGCCTGCGCGCCGCCCTACTGCCCGCGCGCCGCCCTGCTGGCTGCCAAGCCGCCTTGCCCTGCCCGCGCGCCGCCCTGCTGGCTGCCGCACCGCCCTGCCCTGCCTGCACGCCGCCCTACTGGCCACCGCCCTGCCCTGCCGTTTGCGCTGCCCTGCCCTGCCCGCGCCGCTCTTCCCTAGCAGTGCGCCGCCTCGCCCTGCCCTGCGTGCTTCCCTAGTGATCGCGTGCCGCCCTGCCTGCATACTGCCCTGCTGGTCGCGCGCCACTCTGCTCTACCCGCTATGGCTTCTCTCAGTGTTCTCACCTTCGATCATGAGGGCCGTCCGATCCAGTTCGATACATGGCTCGGCGACTTACAGCTGTACCTACTGATCGATTCTAGAGACATCGTTTCGTTGTTTGACCACACGTCTGGAGCCTCTCTCGCCCCTCCCGCCACAGCTGACAGTGCGACTCGCTCACAGTGGCCTACCCGTGACGATGTTGCTTGCTTAGCCGTTCGCAACCACCAGCCGTTAGCCGAACGCGCTCACTTTGGCCAGCACAAGACTGCTAAACCCTGTACGACACTGTAGTCGCTCGTTACTCTTCCCTTGCCACTGCTGCTCTCGGCCGCCTTATACTGCCCTACATTTTTCCCGAGCTGTCAGCCTTTGCCACAGTCGAGGACCTTGTTACCCACCTTCGCACTAGCGACACTCGCTACCGCGCTGCCCTCCCAGCCGAGTTCCTAGACAAGAACCCGCCCCCGATGTACATCACTCTCTACTTCATAGTCACCCGCCTCCCTGACTCTCTTCGCGCAGTCAGGGACCACTTTCTTGCGCTTGACCCCACAGACCTCAGTGACGACCTGCTCGAGAAGCACCTCCTTGCTGCTGAGACTAGCGTAGTCGCTCTAGGTGCTGCTCGTGGCACTCCTCGCACACCCTTCTTTGAGGAGTGTTCCCCCTCCCCCCTTGCCCCCTCCTACACTTCTACTGCTGCTGTTGACATCCTTGGTACTGAGGACGTCGGGGCTGCTTCTGCTCTTCGTGGGAAGCGCCGCAGCGGCAAGGGCAAGGGTTGCAAGAGTGGTGGCGGTGGCAGCGAGGGTGGTGGTGATGGAGGCGGTGGAGGCGGCGGAGGTGGCAGTGGGAGTGGTGGCGGGAGTGGGGGCTTCGGTGCCATCGATGGTGGCAGCGGTGGGAGTGGTGGTGGCGGTGGTGGCGGCAGTGGGAGTGGTGGCAGCGGCAGTGGTGGCGGTCGGGGTGGAGCTGTTCAGAGGGGAGGTTCTGGCGGTGGCCAGAAGTAGCAGCAGCAGCGTCGGAGCGAGACCCCTACGCCCCAGCAGCTTCATGAGTGGTTTGCTCAGTGTGGGGCGTCTAGGGGTAGTGTTCGCTGCCCGTATGTCATTCGCACAAGTGACCGCGCTGGTCAGACATGCGGGAAGTTTCACACACAACACCGCTGCTTCTCTCGCCTTGATGACGCTTGGCACGCAGAGTTAGGCGACGAGGCTGAGCGCCCCCGCTGGCTAGAGCTGCTTAGGTCTGGTGTTGATATCTTTGCTCTTGACTATGATGCTCTCCTTCCTGCCATGTATGCCTTGACTGTTAGTGCTGAGGGTGACTGTTACTTGTGTGTGCTGCTTGACCCAGGTATAGAGGCTACTGCTCTAGGTGCTAGTGAGTCTGCTCTCCCTGGTAGTGTGCCTGCTGAGGCCTTGCACACCTTCACACTTGACTCAGGTGCTTCCCGCTGTCTCTTTCGCGATACTACCACAATCACTCCACTCCCTGCACCACTTCCAGTCAGACTGGCTGACCCCTCAGGGGGCCCAGTTCTTGCACGTTCCTCCACTGTTCTCTCGTGTCCTAGAGTTCCGTCCAGCTCACTCTCAGGTCTTTACCTCCCCTTGTTCTCTACGAACTTGGTGAGTACCGCTGCCCTCCAGGATGTGATGGTCACTACCACCACTCATGGGGGTCAGCGTGTGTCGATCTACATTTGTACACGGACGGGCCGTCACCTGGCCACGTTAACCCGTCGGCCTGGGTCAAGTCTGTACACACTGACAACTGAGCCTCTTCAGGTAGCTGCGTCTGCTCAGGTGTCTGCGTCAGGTCCGATAGCAGCCCCCTGCTCGTGATGCCTCCTATCGCACCAGACTCTCCTTTGGCACCACCGCCTTGGTCACCTCTCCCTGCCACGCCTTCGTGGCATGCACTCCCGCCTCCTTGTTTCTGGTCTTCCTAGGTCTCTGCCTCCCCCGCCCTCGCCTGCCCGGCCCTGCCTTCCGTGCGTCGAGGGGTGGCAGCGCGCCGCTCCTCACTCCTCCTCGTTTCCCCCGACGATTGCTCCCCTGCAGACTCTCCACATGGACGTGTGGGGCCCAGCCGGCGTCAGTGGACAGGACAGCGAGCGCTACATCCTGCTGTTTGTTGATGACTACACGCATTACATCACGGTCTTCCCCTTGCACAGCAAGGGTGAGGTCCCTGATGTCTTGATCCCTTGGATCCGCGCAGTCCGTCTCCAACTCCGTGAGCGGTTCCGTGAGGACCTTCCTGTCCTGCGTCTTCACTCTAACAAAGGTGGTGAGTTCTCCTCCGACCTCTTGCGGGACTTCTGTCGTGGGGAGGCCATTCTCCAGTCGTTCACACTTCCGGCCCCCCCGCAGAAAAATGGGGTTGCTGAGCGCCGCATTGGCTTAGTCATGGAGGTGGCTTGTACCTCCATGATCCATGCGGCTGCTCCCCATTTTCTGTGGCCGTTTGCGGTCCATTACGCTGCGCATCAGCTCAACCTCTAGCCCCATCTCCTTGCCGGAGACCTCCCCTACACTGCGTTGGACGGGGAAGGTTGGCGATGCGTTGGTATTCCGGTTCTGGGGCTCTCATGCCATTGTTCGCGATGCTTCCGCAGACAAGCTCTCCTTCCGCGCCATTCCCTGCGTCTTCCTTGGCTTTGCCCCTGACACGCCTGGCTGGCATTTTTATCACCCCACCTCTCGCCGTGTCCTGTCCTCTTAGGACGTCACGTTTGACAAGTCGGTTCCTTTTTACCATCTCTTCCCCTACCGCACTGCCCCTCTCCCCCCCCTACCGCTCTTCCTCGCTCCAGGTCCCCCTCCAGTAGACCCCCTCCCCCCTCTGGGTCCTGCTCCCTCAGTTGTGTCTCAGTTAGACCCACTCCCCCTGGCTGAGCCTGTCGAGGTCACTGTAGACTCAGTTGCTGCTAGGGGTGCTACGTCTGGGGGTGCTGAGCCTACGAGTGCGGAGCTTGGGGGTGCTGAGCCTGGGGGTGCTGAGCCTGAGGGTGCGGAGCCTGGGGGTGCTGAGTCTGAGGGTGCGGCGTCTGGGGGTGCTGAGCCGGAGGGTGCGGAGCCTGGGGGTGCTGAGTCTGAGGGTGTGGAGTCTTGGGGTGCTGAGCCTAGGGGTACTGCGTCTGCCGGAGGTCCTGTGGGTGCCTCGCCACGACTGTCTCACCGGGGGGAGCCTCTCTCACCGCAGCAACTGCGCGAGTGGTTTGCTCAGCGCACACGCCTTAGGAGTGGCGCTGCAGGAGCTGGAGGCCCTGCCGCTGGAGGCACTGGAGCTGGAGGTGCTGGAGCTGCTAGTCCTGGAGGTGGTGGAGTTCCTGCTGGAGCTGGAGGTACTGGAGGTGCTGGAGCTGCTGGTCCTGGAGGTGCTCGTACTAGAGGTACTGGAGCTGCCGGAGCTGGTGGTGTTGGAGGCGCTGGAGCTGGAGACTTTGGAGCTGGAGGCACTGGAGCTGGAGACCTTGGAGTTGGAGGCACTGTCGCTGGAGGCGTTGGAGCTG